AACGAAGTAGCCAGGAATAAGTACACACCACAGAGAGGATCTGTTCGGTTTCATGGAAGCAGGCGCTAAGTAGTTGTTGCTGGCACTGCTTTAACTGCTTTGACAGCTGGGTGCCACACGAAAACTCGGCAGAAGTCCTGTCGGAAAAGTTCTGAGGCACTGCACAAAGAAGGCCATTATAAGGACTTGGGCATTATAAGCTGGGTTTAGAACAATAAGCAAAACAAATGGTAAATGTCACTTCAATTCAGCTGCAAACTTCAGAAGCCTCTACTTAGCTGCATCCATTCCCCTTGAGTTCAACACTATGGACGGGTCAGCACTTGATTGACTGCCTGAATACTATGTTATATATTGCTTTTTAAAAATGGTTTCCATGTTTCATGTGATTGGCAACAAGTCACTCAATATGGATACCTGATGGCAAAATTTATTAAAATAATGACGAGCTGTGTGTGGCTACCTCCTCTTGACTGACTATATAGAGCACGCACTGCAGCTCTGAAAACATACACCAAATGGGTAACACAAGGGGTGTGTGTGTCATGTGTTCATTCTTTTCATGATGTCAGCTTCCTGCTACCCACTGGGAAAGAATATATATGAGAGAATAAAATCAACTACATTAGATATTGAGAGAAGGTATAGCATGCAAGGAAGACTTAATTTCCTTTTTGCTGCTAGTAAACATGAAGGAAGCCACTCTGCATCAGGCCCATTGCCGCCGATAGGAGAGCACTTTAACATCCTGCTCAGCTGAATCTCTCCCCCCCCCCGATAACTTTGAGATGGTTAAAAAGAGAGAAACTGATTTTGTTTTGCAAATTTGGGGATGGAACTGGAAGGGAAGAGTTAAATCTAAACAAAGATCGGCCCAGTCTAGAAAAATGAAAGACTTCTCTGCATGCTCACCTTGGACATGACATCTCATTTCCAAATCTGTTGTGCAGGAGCAACATGGCTTGTAGTATTTCTGCTCCCTCTGCTGGTCACAAGGGAAACTGCTTGCCTTTTGGAAATTTAAACATCTCAACTGGTGGTATTCTTCATCATAGATGACAACAACAAAAGAGAAGCCTTTTCTTTGAACACCACCTAAATTTAATCTTCAGCTTGGCTGAGAAAGGAGTTGCCATTGAACTGGGTAGTTGGCTGAATAAGCTCATCAAGTGTAAAGATATGTCACTGAAGACCAAGACCAAGGTCATCCACGCTCATGTACTTTCAATCACCATGTATGGGGTGTGATTGCTGGACAGTTGAGAAAGCTAACAGGGAAAAAAATGATTTCTTGGAAATATGATGCTGGCTGAGAGCTTTGTGGATACTCTGGGCTGCCACAATGATGAAAAAGTGGGTCCTTGCACAAATCAAGCCTGAATTATATCTGAATGCAAAAATAATGAAACTGAGACTGTCCTACTTCGGGCATATTATGAGAAGGCAGGATTCTTTGGAAAAGGCAATAATGCTGGGAAAGGTTGGAGGCAGCAGGAAAAGAGCAAGACCAAATATGAGATGGATTGACTCTAAAAAAAAAGAAAGGCATGAGTTTGCAACAGCTGAGCAGGGTTGTTGAGGACAGGACAGTATTTGGAGATTGCACATTCATAGGCTCACTGTAAGTTGGAAATGGCTTGATGGCACATAACAACAACAATGTACAGTTACTGGATGCTTCTGCTGTGTGCCAGTATAAAGGTCATACACTTTGACTAAAAAGCAATGGAAAGCTTGAGTTTCTGTAAGCTCCTTTTCTACAATAATGGGTACTTGATTCTACATCACTGAAAATACAAGCTCTCTAGTTGCCTCCCTGTGCTTGCAATCTCCATAACAATTTGGATTTCTGACTTCTCACACCTTCTTTTGCAACAACCTCTGGACTTGTGTTTTTCAAGCCCTCTTCCAGACCCCTAAATGCCCAATGGCACGCTACTTACACCACTGAGAGATGCCTCCAAAGGAATTTATGACATCAGGATTATCCAGAAATAAGAAATTTTAAAAACTGCCAAAAATCTCACAACACACACAAACACACACAGAAGGAGGGACCAGAAGTAAAACCATTAATTAGAGCCTTGGGTGGCAAATATTTCATATTTTGAGCTGTTTATTTATTTATTGTCATCCGTTGTTACATTTGTATTGCTACTGGTTTGGTCTGAGTAGAAATTGTAAAGTTACTTTTGAGAACAAATATGATAATACACCGAATCAGTGATACCTCTGCTAAGTTATGGGTTCAGCATTATAAGGTCTAACTAGACTTTTCACTTGAAAGATGTAGCATATGGTTTTCCTTATGCATGTATTTTACTTTAGTGGGCTTTGTTTTGTGTTTATTCACTGGAATGTAACCATAAGCTTACTTTGCATGTCCAGTTATTGTGTCTCAGAAGTATTTCTGCGGGAGGGGAGGGAAAACTGGTTATTCAGAGGAAATATACATTATCCTGAATATTTAATTTGATTGGGTTCAACCTTCCAAGTTCAGCCCTTTGGAAGATTCCAAAATGCTGAGGGATTACACTACTGAAATAAACAAGGTGATAGATTGGGGGTTTTTTTAGTTGGCTTAAAGTCCTGTGGTTTATTGGTTGGGGTGTGTTTCCTCTTGAGACAACTATTAATCCATATTTAAGCTGTGTTGTCAGTTAAGGGGGCTACACAGACTTTTAAACTGTTGCATTTGAGGCTTTGTCCTCCACCAGCCTGTCGGCACACTGACGTGCACTCGACTGCATGGGGTTTGTTAAGTAACCGATGCCAGAATCATGGGTTTCTGACTGCAGGGAAACCTTGTAACTGTAGTCTGATCTGTTACAAGGTTGCTGGCAGTGAATAGCTGTTAGAGATAGCCAGTGTGAGGGAAAGTAGACGCAGGACAAAGCCTCAAATGCAATGAGATACCTTACTTTTTGAACAAAAAAACCCCCCATGCTTCCTAGCAAAATTTTAAAAAAAAGAACAAAGTGATTAGCTGTACATTTTGTGAATGGATATTTTTAAATCAATTCCAAACGTGCTAAATCCAAGGCAAACCGAGGAGTATTTTGATATCTAACCACACCCTGTGACTAATTTATAGGACCACAATAATCGCCAACACCAAAGTGTACTAGAATCAAATATAATAATTTTGCAACAATTAGGACTTTTTAAGAACCATGACAGGCATTCTCAAAGAATGAACCAAGGAGAGCGGCTCTCCCATCCATGCAGTGGGTGGGGGAGAGTCAGTGAAAGTCAGTGAAGCTTTCCATAGAGCTTGTGAAAGATGCTGGCCCCACCCAACCTGACTTCTCACCACAGGAGCCTCTGAAGTTTGCACCCTTAATTTAAGCTGCAAAGAGTTTAACAAGATGCTTGTGGTATATACCGAACACAAACTCCTCACATGCCAAAATGGGAGGGAAAAAGAAAAACACCCCCCCCAAACCCAACCCTACCACATTTCCTGACGCCAAATTTAATGGGCACCCTACAAAACTGGAGTTCAGCTGTTCACTGTAGTTAAGTTATAACATGAAATTTGTGGGCATTTGAACTTCTAAATGCAGTACAAAGAATAGCATCTCTTCCAGGCAAAAGCAGCTTCACTGAGCACTGCAAATACACTTCGGTAGCCTAGTGCATATAATCCAACATTCAGTATACAATTTTCAATACACAAAGATGGCTTCCTTATAACATTTGTCTTCTGCATTCTCCAGGGAAATAAACATGTCCACTTCATCCTGTGTTCCAAAATCTCATGCAAAGGGCCTCTGAGTGTTTAGCCAACCTGATTCATTTTGTAACGAGCGTACATAGTCCACACACTATTTCATTGTTCAGCCTATGCAATGCAGCACCACACTTCCCAAAGTTTTTGTGGATTACAAAATTACAGTTCATAAAATCCCCCAGTGAGCAGGGTGAAATTTGTATTCAGAGACTTGCCCTTCTTCTCCCCAGTGGGATCCGAGCCCATGTGCTTATTGGGGACAGTAACAGTGAAAACATGGCCTTAGGGCTATCTATCTATCTATCTATCTATCTATCTATCTATCTATCTATCTATCTATCTATCTATCTATCTATCTATCTATCTATCTATCTATCTATCTATCTATCTTTATCTATTTATTTATTTATCTATCTATCTATCTATCTATCTATCTATCTATCTATCTATCTATCTATCTATCTATCTATCTATCTATCTATCTATCTATCTATCTATCTATCTATCTATCCCTCCATCCTGCCATTCTAGTGTCCAGGACACTACTCTGGGTGGCTTATGATGTCATAACATAAACACAATAAAACTAGAATAATGATCTAATAAAACATCAAATAAACCCAAATCTCTAAATATAAAATAAGTAGTACAGAAAATACAAAGGTGCAATAGACAGTGGCAAAAAATGGAGATAATTATTCCAGAATTAACAGATTAGGAGTGGTCACGAGCAACATTAATCCGTGGCAAGGCTGTGGAAGGCCTGTGTAGACAACCATGCTTTTAGCTGTTTTCTAAAGGCAAGGAAGGAAGGGACCCGTTACACTTCTGTTGAGGGAAGAGTTCCATAAAGATGTGGGCACTACAGAGAAGGCCTGGTTCTGAGTTGTTGATTTTCAGGCCTCCCTCAAGGTAGCAACCCATAACATGCCAGAATATGTGAGGCAAGTGGTCATTCTGAGAATGTTTCTGTTCTGTTCCCCTCTTGGATGCCGACTGATAACCTCAAGAATGGTTTAACTTTCTTTCTGTCAGAGTACTCTTTCATCTTTCTCCCAAATACTATAGAATCCCTCTTTGAATATGTCAGTATTTTATTTCAAAAGAGGTTTTACCCTTTCAAAGGCCTCTTGCTATCTTCTGCAACATCTGTCTTAATCCCTTTACTAATTTCAATGAACACCATGCCTTATTGTTATCACTTGCTGTTACTTCTGTTAGCTAAATGCCAATAATAATGTTTGTCAATGGCCCAAATAACCAAGGTTGCAGTCATGTATCAGCTTAGCTGGGATTTAGTTCTGAACTGATATGAGAAACATCACACAAACTCAGATTACTTCATCTAGTGTAGCCCATGGACGAAGTCCCTACAGAACAACAACAACATTTCTCATCACTGTGGTGTAAGATGATTTCTAATGACATTCAACTTTGAATGTGTCCACATATAGTGATGCTAAAGATTTTTTACATCTCAAAAAATATTGCTAATAAGTTCTCACCCAGAATGTGGTGGATTTGTTCTAGAGTTTCTCTGAAATTAGCTTTATTATTTTATTATTTTAATGTATTTTATTTTTGTTATGTTCACATTTTGTTTTAAGTTGTTATTGATTATTTCTGTATTATTGCTTTGTATTATTGTATTTGTAAACTGCCCAGAGTAGCCTTGGTAACCAGATTGCAAGTATAAAACTTAATTTAATTAATTAATTAATGCTTAAACCTTTATTTTCAGTCATGTTAGAACAGTTTGCTGACCTAAACAATCAATGCATATTCTAGCCAAGTTAAGCACCTTTGAAGGTTTAGTTCTGAGTTTCTCAAATGGTTCAAAATTAAGTTCCCCCCCTTCTCTTCCTCCACCATCACTACTACCTCCTCCTTCTGGGGGATGGACCTCTTTAAAATAGTTTTTCTGTCTTGACTTCAAGGTTTCTCCTGGCTTGCACATTTTAGTTGTGTCTTTTGCCACCAATTTCTGATTATGTTTTGAGGCACAAAAGTAGCCTGGAGCGGCCTGGACCTCTTTAAAATAGTTTTTCTGTCTTCAAGGTTTCTCCTAGCTTGCACATTTTAGTTGTGCCTTTTGCCACCAATTTCTGATTTTGTTTTGAGGCACAAGAGCAACTCTCTCTCTCTCTCTCTTAAAGGTTCTTTGAGATATATACGCACACACACACACACACACTCTTAAAGGTTCTTTGAGATATATATGTAGTTTTAGAGGCAACTCCCACATAGAATCAAATGAAAAATCACCATGCTTACAATATAGTGCTGTATGTTTAAAGAAGAAACCCTACCCAACAGTAGAGGCAACTTGCTAAGTATACTTTCAGCATGTAAACTTTCCTCCTAAATTATCACTCAAAGACTGTAAGTAAAGCCAGATTCATAGAATTGTAGGTTTGGGAAAGGCTTGCTGTCTGAGCCAGACCCCCTCACTATTGCAGAAGACATCCTCTGACACAGTGAACAGCTTTCAGTGGTGGATATTTAAGTAACTTCTGTACTCAGTAAAACCTGTTGGGTTCCTATCCTGAAGCCATGATGTGTTTGAGACAGGAAGATATTAAAACATGCCAGCAACTGTAAATGCCGGACTTAGGATGAATAATCGAATATTGATAGTATCACAATGTACAACAAAATTGACAGGGACACGCCACAGCAGAAGACTAATGGATTCAGATATGGGGTCCCCAGTTTCTGTATATCTTTTGTTGGGTCCACCGGTTACATTGGCAACATTTCTCATAAAGGGACAGAACCTAAGAGGCAGCATAGCTGGGTAAGTCTGTCCCTTTTGTTATGCATACAGTACTACTAAAGCAATGCAAGCCATAAACACTGCCTAGTATCATGATGCTACTCTTTACTGAAGGTCTCTACAACCAGCCTTTGATATACAACTCACTATGATTTACCCTTGTTACTAAAGTAGGGTTTTTTAATGTTTATAAATTATTGAACAAGATGCTTATTTGAGCTTTTCAAATTTAAATATGCGTTCGCTGTTCTTTACGTTACAAAGAACATTTGAAGGACAAAGAAACACAGAAGTTCCATGCAGTTTCATAACCCCACTATTATAAGCATGAATACATTGATTTCATAAGTATTCCCAGACATATGTTTGTTAAAATCCTGTTGCACTACTATACTTTTAGTGGTGAATTTAGCACTGTAAGAAATCATTGTACACATTATGTATTGTATACCATCACACAACTGTGCCATGAAGGATGAAATGATGGCTGGGGTGAATAACATCAAATGACAGACACTTGTAGCCAAATGTCATCAAAAAACTGCTGAAGAGGATTTTATAATCATTTGATCAGGTACTTTACTAGAGCTTGCAGGGGGGGGGGAAGGCTTATTTTAACCTACAACTCCTAAAATCTTTCAGTTTCTTGAATTCTTCTTGTGAACTCTGATGATTGGAATAAGAGAACGCTGACCCTCCTATAGTCCAGTGAGATGGGTTGCCCAGATTAAACTGCACTTCTTATTTTTCCTCTTGCTTTCAGCCCAAGGAACAAAGTCCTAACTGTAAAATTAGTTCTATAAGCTTTTCAAAGAACCATGACTATTTTGCCCTTAAGAAACTATTGCTTGCAATTCCTCCCCAGCAAAGAAATTCCTAAGTAACATTATCAGCAGTATTAAAATAAAATGTGCCAAAAAGCTTGTCAAATGATTCTTGGCTTTCTTTAAAGCCTGACACTCTTGATAAAATGTTACATGCCAATTTAGTTCCCACAATTTTTTTTAACTCAACTAGGGAAAAAAGTGGGAGGGCGAAGAAATTTAAAAGAGCACCGCCTAATTCAGAAAGTACATCAATGTTAGGAATTCTGTGTTTGTGGTGAGAGGCAGAGAGGGTGGGAGGGCAAGAAAGAGAGAAAGTAGTTAAATGTGCCTTTCAAACTACCGGGAGCTTGACGGGAATGTTTGATGAGTTTCTTGCTTGTTTCTGATTCTTTAGATTAATATGGTCTGACGTTTGTGGTGCAGAAAAGCTCGGGAAAAGTGACCTAGAAATACAGGTTGGAGAAAAGGATTTAAACAATTACACACCTCCAGCAAGGTAATGCTGATTATTTCCCTACATTCGTTTTATAAAGTGCTGTAGTAATATTCTAAGGCAAAGAGATTAATTCTGTATTTTGAATAATTCTGTGTTTGTATGTGAGTATTTGTATGTTTGCATTTAAAGTACTTTCAGCACCTCATCAATGATAATATAAATTTCACAAATTAATGATATGCCCACAAAATATACAAAACATACACATACAAGCAGTGGCTACATAATTCGATAAAGATTCATTTACGTCCTCAAAGTTATTTTATAGGTAATGTAGCATATATATAACATACATAGTAATGTTTTCAAATCTATAGTCTGTTTTCTTACCACCACCCCATTGTCTCTGCATTTAAAAGCTAAAGAATTGTATTAATATTGGCCAAAGTTTGTGTATTAGGAGGACGTCTTTTCCTGATTTGTGGATTCAGTTGTGTGAGGAAAAAGGAATTGACAAAGCACTATGTGTGTGCATTGCAATAGTCTCTTTCTTATGTTCCTTCCTTCCCTCCCTCCACCTCTCTCTTTTTCCCCTTTTCCCCCTCTCCCCTCTCTCCAAATATCCTTTTGTGCTGAATGGCTGCTATGCTAGCAAGACTTTGAAGAGGACTAGCATTATCAAACCTGTCACAGCAACTCACCTTCTCCCAGAGCAAATGGATTCTTGATAAATCTCTACAATGTGATTTGTGTCAGACCAGTAGCAACATGCACTGGCTGCTCCAGGCAAATTTGCAGAGAAGGAAAAAATAGTATTCTTAAGATCGGTGAATGCTTATGGAAATTGTACCCCCTTTTAGCAAATTGGCAATTTAAATGGGGAGATCCTTTTGGGATAGTATTTCTTCTTCCTCCTGCTCATTCTCTACCCTCTTTCTTTCTTTTGTGTCTTGCTCTTCCCCCTCTCTGCATTAATTGGAAAACAATAAAAGGTTCTCGAGTAGCAAATAAGAAAACAGCTCAAATGCCATCATTCATTAACATGTCAAACTGTAGCAACAGGAATTCAGTCAAGTCACACAATTTCCAAATGGAAATTTACAACAAGCATAATCAAATGCCTTATATTTCCCCATGCCATGGAAACATCATTTCTTGTACACAGAATGCTGAATGAGTTAGGCTATCTTGTTTATGGTGCAAGGAAAGCAAGGAAAGGAAAATATAGTTATTACCCAAATTGCAAACGTGACTTGGTGATAATGCAACAGGATTTTCTGAGTGTAGATTGTAAGCAGGTTATGAACAGACACGTTTCTCATTTACAGTATTTTAATCTGATCTGACAAATTGCTTGGCAGTGGAGATAGATGTAGGATAAAAAGGAAATGCGTTCATTCTTCTCATTATATTTGTGAAAGAGCAGTAAAACTAAAAATTCAAGAAGCATTCCATTTGTGTGGATCGAAGATGGGTTGAAGGGAAAAGTCTGATTATGGTCAGCAGCTGTTTATCAAATTGTAATGTCTCCTCTGATGTGATAGGTAGTGGTATGAGAAAACATCAGCTCTAATTTCACAATTGGTCCTGAGCTGGCAGTCAAGGGAGGCATGTCACCATGCATCCAAATTTCAGTTTCATTCACTGGTTAGGATTGTGACAGCTTACAGCTAGTCAGAGTGTTTTTGCTGGCTTGTTTTTATTCTCTCACAACTTTATTTTCATTTGTTTGCGTTGCACAGCCATTTATTGCATTGATGCTGCTTTTAGTGTTTCCCAAGTTTGCCTTGTGTTGTATTTATCCATGGTGGACCCATTTGGGGGCTATAGAGAGCAGATTCCAAGCAATTTCACAAGGACAGAACCAAAACTTGGAAATGCAACTTTTAAAATGTCAGCCCTCAATCACAGTGAGAGATAATCTCTCCCCCTTATCACAACAATACATCCACAACAAAAACACGCTGATCACCATCATCACCCTATCTCCTGAAAAGGACAAAAGCTGTTCCCACAGCTATAAATACTCAACTATCCAACAAACACCAGCAGAGCATGGACAGCGTTCCTACTCCAGTCCTCTGAAGACGCCGGCCACAGAGACTGGCGAGACGTCAGGAAGAACAACCTTCAGAACACGGCCAAAGAGCCTGAAAAACCCACAGCAACCATCAGCCCTCAGAATTTTCCAGACAGCATGGTTACTGGCAAAAACTCTAGTGGTGGCCGTCCAAAACAGTAATTTCCCCAAGCTCTGGGAGGTAATATATCTTTGAAGCCCTAAAATTTTAAAGTTCATTTATTGCTTCCCCCAGTATATACTTAAGGTGGGTGGGGGCTCAGCACACTTCATGGACTGTTCGCCACACAGCCACATGCATACACTTAATGGGCAAAAACCTCACCAAAGAGGTTATAAAGATGATGATGGTCCTGCATTCAATGCGCTGCTTAGAGCACGGAGGGGGAGCCTTAGGTATTCCAGAGGTTGTTGAATTCTATCAGCTCCAGGCACCATGACTGATCATTGGGGATGATGGGAACTGTAGTCCAAAATTCAAGAAACCTTGTAAGAATTTATCAGTCATGACTAGAAAATTAATACTACATGCTTCAAGGAATGGTTTTACCATGAATTGGGTGAACAAGATGACTCACAATACTTGGACCAGGATGACCCACACTCACAAAGAGTAATGCAATCTTAGGAAGCGTGAAAGCAATATACTGTGTTTGTTTTCTTAAAGCTTCACGGCTTTGCATAAACACAAAGGTTTCTCTCTATGTAAGTAATGTATCTCCTTTTTTGGAGTTTTAGGAGTGGGAAGCTACTAAAAACACAGTACTGGTAGGTCCACATAATGTTACAACAATGCTCTGATTAGTATGGATGGAAGGCTACATTGAGATTTCTCAAAGACCATTTTGAATTCCACAGTGGAAGGAAGATGGGAGGAAGATATCATCCTTAGCGAGTTCATTACAAGAGGGGATGGATTGGGGACACTGACTCACAGTCAAACTTGACATTAAGGAGAAAATGTGTTCCCTAAACATATATTGTGCAATTGAATATTCTCCCATCCTCCCTCTAGGTTTCTCATATCTAAGAATATTGGTTGAGATTCTACAAGGTACATTGCTGAAAATTGTCCCCACTTGCCCCATGTTGTAATACCATAGCCTGTCTATCTCCACTGATATGAAACCATGCATACTAGACCTAGAATGTAGCCAAACATTTCCACTTATATGGACCTGTATATACTAGACACAAGATGCATCCACTCAGCTACTTAACAGTTCTACTGCTGGTGAACAGAACTGGGAAACTGGCAATTCTTACTATTTACCATAACAAAATATTAATTGGAACAGTTGCAGCCAAAAAAGATGAATAAGGAATGACCAAGATCTGGTGGTAAGAAACTACAATTCCCTTGATAAGCAGGGACAGTTGAAGCATTATGTGTTTTATAGAGTGTTTGTATGCCTCCTGCTTTACAGAAGCTAGTTCTCTATATGAAGGTGTTCTCTATTGGAAGCACTGGCCCATATTCTCTTGCCCAGCTCTGCTGCATTGTTGTGGAACTCCTTGCCACAGGATGTGGTGATGGCATCTGGCCTAGATGCCTTTAAAAGGGGATTGGACAGATTCCTGGAGGAAAAGTCCATTGCAGGCCCCAAGTCATGATGGGGATGTATAATCTTCAGGCTTTAAAGGAAGGTACCTCAAAATGCCAGATGCAGGGGAGGGGTATAAGGAGACAGCTATCTAGTTGTCTCATGTGCTCCCAGAGGCATCTGGTGGAGTCACTGTGAGATACAGGAAGCTAGACTAGATGGGCCCTTGGCCTGATCCAGCAGGGCTCTTCTTATGTTCTTATGTTCTTATGCCTGGTGCAGGGGGAATGATGTCAACAGCAGTAGCAAATTGCCAATAATTCAAGTGTTCCTTTTTTTCCCCCCTTTGAGAATGCACAATGAGGCAATTGGCCACTCACAACAACATTCCCACTGTGCTGGTGGACCTCTATAAGAGGATACTGGCCACATTGCTCTTTAAATTTGCTGCTGTTTGTTGTATTGTAGTTATGTTGCAAGAGTAAGCCTCATATCCCAAAATAACTTGGCTGGGTTGGGTTTTATGCACCTTGAACTGGGTTTGTGTGGGTAATTGAGTAATCCTTATACCTCTCATGGAGAGATTTCCTCAGAAATATGTCTTACCATTCAAATTTGCAAATTAAGCCCATGTTTACTTTCCAAGGCAAGGTTTGATGACATTCAGCACTTCTGCTAAACCTCTTACATACGGTAGTTTTATCCTGCTTGCAGAGCCAGAAGGATATATCAGGAACCCCTAGCTTCCCAAATTCCATAATGTACAAGGTTTTCTAGTTCTATCTAAATTCTGCTTCAGCTACCTACCATACCTGCAACTAGACCAGGGCTTACACATAAACCAGATAATAGGTAATCACAACTCTAACACCGGAGGCAGACTAAAATGAGAGATAAAGCTGAGTATCATAAACAGTGCATCAGCTACACCAGGGGTGGGCAATTAATTTCTATAGGGGGCCATGTGAAAAATCTGAACTGTGTTCGGGGGCCGAGCCAACTTTACTTAAAAATAAAAGATAAGCAACTGATCAACTTTAGACAAAACACTACAGATGGTTTTGATGTTCAGTGAGAGAAATCCAGTCTCTCTTGGGCTTGAACAAGTGCTTGAACACTTGTACCTCATGATAATCAGTATTACTGTTGTTATTGTTGTTTTGACTTATATGTTGCCCCATAGTGCTAGGACACTCTCTAGATGGTTTACAACATTATTAGGCAAGGAACACTCCCCCCCCGCCCCAGGGAGCTGGGTCCTCATTTTACCAGTCTTGGAAGTATGGAAGGCTAAGTCAATCGTGAGCCAGACCTGAACCCATTGGGATAGACCTCAGAAGCTTGACTGCAGCGTTGCAGTTTCAACACAAGGCTCGCCGACATCAGTAGAAAATGATATAAATATCTGTGTACTTTTTATTTATTCATTTAATTTA